CCGGACACAAGATGTCAGGCAGACAGGGGCCAACCAAAATTAAGATAGGGGCTACTGTACCCAGTGGCGTCACAAGGGGGGTGCGGCCCGCACCCGGGTGCCCCCATTGGAGGGGTGACACCAATATGACTGACAGTCATTTTGTTGTCACCCCTTATGAAATGTCAGGCACTCGGTCACGGACCGAGAGCCCGACAGTGTCAGGAGAGAGGAGGGGAACCGGCAACATACCTTATCCCATCGGGTGAACGTCTCCTCCTCTCTCTGCCGGCGTCCATCACCAAGATGGCTGCCGTGAGGCATCAAAAAGACCACTGCGCATGCGCGATGATGTCACGGCGGGGTTTCACCCGGTCCCCGCCCCCAGGTGACACCCACCCTCGGGTCGCCACTGACTGTACCCCCACTGAAAATAGTCTCAACTGTGATATTTACATATGAATGGGCTGAGCTATTTACATATGAATACGCCACCACTCATTCTCCCCAAAAAATGTCTGTGCGTTGCTTGAATGTTCGTGTTTTGCTTGAAGAAAAGGTGGCAACCCTACTCGAACCACCAGCGAACAGTCACTACTGATTGCAATTTAAATGCGACTAAGGCTTAAACAGCTAAATACACAGTGAAGAATCAACAGCAAGACTATGATCATCTCTGTTCTCTTCCTTCCCCAAGCTTTTTCATTGTGAAACTGAAATACTCTACAGTGCAATAGAGCTTTTATTTGCAGATCCACAAAATGGATACACAAAAAAAAAACAACAAAACCCCCCTGAAGATAGTAAACACCAAATGTTATCTCTTATACTCTGTACCGTTATCCTATCTATGTATTGGAGGCGGAGCTACACACCAGGTGCAAAACAAAATTGTCAAACTGATTAAGACAATATAAATAAAATGGCATTTGGGCTAATAACACCTAACAGTTGTAAACAGAAAGGGGGGTGCCTGCAGCTCAAACACCAACCTGGAGGACCTTATACCCGAAGCTAGCATCAAATGAGGCAGAAACATCCACCTGAACATGGAACATGTGATCAGGCTAATAGGTGGCAGTCTTGCAAGTCTGGAAAACAGTTACCCTAATTATGAAAAGCCTAAGGGCCAGTTCACACCATATGCAGTTATGATGCAGTCCATTCCGTTTGACTGCTGCAGTCAAAATACATCACAATGCTTTCCTATGGGCTTTTTTGTGCTTTATTCACACCATTGCAGTGTGAATAAAGCCCAAAGACTTTAATCAAAGAGGGAGAGGTCAATGGTCTCTGAAGCAGAATGTAAAGAGCAGTCTTGGCCTTTGCTGATGCTGAGAGACAAATGCTGGCCCAAACCCAACTGCAGGAAGGAGAGGATTCATTCCACATAGAAACTCCTGTAATGAAAGCCCCTAAACTCCTAGTGAGGACCCAGCAAGCAGCACACAGACACTGGTTTTTTTTTTTTTTCCTCAGCCTGAGTCCCCCGCCAGGAAACAGCTGAAGACGGAAGACCAGCCAGAAGAGGTAAGGGTAAATAATTCATAACAATTATTATTTGTAGCCCAACTGATGTTTTATAAAGTACTGCTGATATTTGTAATGATCTATAGCAGGTGCCATTCTGCATTGCAGCAATGCAGAATGGTACCCCCTATAGAGGACTACAGATCTCAGCAGTACTTTATACAGCAATGCTATTGTTGTAGAAAGTATTGCTGGTATGTGTAGTCCTCTATAGGGGGTACCATTCTGCATTGCTGTAAATATGGATACACCCATGGCCAAAACGGAGGAGGGTAATGCTGGAAGTTGTAGTTCTCTATATCCGTTACCATTCTGCATTTCTGTAGAGAGTAATGCTGGAAGTTGTAGTCCCCTATAGCCGTTACCATTCTGTTTTTCTGTAGAGAGTATTGCTAGAAGTTGTAGTCCTCTATACAGAAATGCAAAATAGTAAAGGCTATAGGTGGGCATTGTAAGAGCCGGGGGGAATCTCACACCGGGGCCCATTGTTCCACCACTGCTTGGGATGCTGCTCAGAGTAAGAGAAAAGGCTTCAAGTAATCCCAAATTCCAGACAGCTGTTAAGTGGAGACCAGAGGGTTAGATGGCCGGAGGTGACCAAAGTCACTGTAAGTGAAGCAGTAGAAATGGATCGAATATCTACTTGGCGATTTGCAACAAGAGTAGCAGCGGGGAGATGCTTTAACACTGTATGGCATGAAAGTGCACACAGTATACGCCGGCAGTCCTAGAGTGTTAACCCATATCACAACAAAGCCTTCAGGAAATGCGGAATGGCACGCAGCAGCCCATGAAAATGAGGGAACACCAGCCAGCGGCTATGGACCTGGAAAGCACTCAACTGACTTATCGAGAACTAAATCTGGAAACACTCCACACTGAACCCAATGCCCAAAGGTCACTTTCACACTAGGTCTGGCGGGGTCAGGATATGGAAGGATCCAAAGGCCAGGCTATGGGCAACTGCATTGGATAGCTGCCAGATGGGAGATTTCCATCAGCAATGAAGAGAAGTCTTGAGAGAACAAACAAATGGAGGGAAGAAAAAAAAATATGTCTTTACAACAGCAGAGCTGAAGAAAAGACATCCATCCTTCAAAGATGCTAGCAAAAAAAATTGAGACGTGCTCGTAGTGGGAGGGGTTAAACCCTTGATTGGCCTACAGTTTTGTTTGCAAGACTGATTTTTTTTTGGGGGGAACTTTTAAATTTGATTTTACTTTATTGTTATCACATAGGGGGCTAAGAAGCCCCCTATGTTATAGCAAATAGGATGCGACAGGTCTGCTTTTTGCTGTTGTACCGTTTAAAGCTCTTCCATGTGCACCTTGCTTTAAAGCTGGTTATGAGTTGAGTGCGTTTGCCATTCGTCTTGCTTGACTGATTTCGTCTTGCTTGACTGATTTCGTAAAGTGACACACTGGGGGTCTCAGCTGCCATTGTGATGTACAGGGTCCCTTGTGTGTCCCCGTGTCTTTAATGGAGGTTGGGCTGCCTCCCGGCGAACCTGCACCCAAATGTATCTTTTGCTACATGTGCTCCAAGATGGAGACTCTCATAGGTTAGAGTTATGACCGCACTACACAGAGGGGCCTTGACGAGGCAGTGCGGCTTTCACATTCTGCAGAAGACGTACATCTAAAACCTGTTTTTAACCTTAGCGGTGAGACAAGTTTTTTTTTTTTATGATGGCTGGTGTGTGCTGGGAAACTTTTTGCCGAGGTAGTCTTTATGGAGACATCAGGGGTCTTTAAAGACCCCTAATGTCACCTAGGGACCCCCAAAGAAGCTGATGTAGCCAGAGAGTGACAGCAGAATGAAGCTATACATCACTTCCTGCATTCTGACACCGGTGAGGAGATAGGAGGGAGATTGTGTACCGATCTACCTCTGATCCCGTCACAGAGCTGCGGTGCTGCAGCAGAGCTCGGGACCGGCGCTGCAGAGGAGGGCGCACCTACCGGCACCTCATACAAGCGGATCCAGTGGCTCTATAGCTGCAGGAACGCTTGTATGTAAACAGGCATCATTGCCCGTTTTACATTTTGACAGTTCCGCGCACGCCGTGTGATACTTGCCGTGATACAAAAAATAAATTTTCCACCAAAACCATATTTGACCATGCTAAGAAGCACTTCTCATTGGTCAGCGCGGTGACCTGACTGCAATTAAGACAATACACTTTATAAAATTACATTTTATTACAATAAAAACACACCAACACTTAGTATTTTACTTTGAAATGCATTAACATTAAAAGACAAAGATGTAATATTTGCATATTGCATAACAGTAGTACCCATTAGTTACAGTTTAGCAGCATAATTGTACAGTTTTATAACATTGCATAGTATGCAGCAGCCTATGCCATAAAGTGCCATATAACCAAGGATCACAGCTGCCTCTCCTCAGTTGCAATGCATAAAAGTCATACCATGTGCAGTCTGCTCTGTATAGACGATATCACACTATCTGAACAAAATGCATTTCATGTGCCTACATCCTTCACAGCTCTGCTTGCAATAAAGCCAAATATAAATTACAAGTACCCATAAACCTAGATATGTGGAAAATACAACTTCACTAAAAGCAGTGTGACGTCATGTGAGTGAATCAGTGCCCCAATACACATATGAATGTGTTTTGTAAGGTAAAGTGTGAATGAGATATTTAGTGTGATATTTAAATTGTGCCTCAACTTACTCAAACATTTACACCTAAGCTAGTACGTAATAAGGGAAATAAGATTTTGCATCAGGAATGTAGTGTTACTCCCAGCAGAGCTGTTTGCCCGATTACTTTAGAAAGGAAAAGAGATGCCCACAACAACCAGATTTCAGCTGTCATTTTTAAGTGTATGCTAGGACCTGAAACAGATTGGTTGCTACATGTAGGGCTTCTATTCCAAGTACATTGGAGGTACCATGTAAGTAGAGGCCCAGGAGAAGTTTGGTAATCATTCCCAAAATAAAACCTTTTAAGATTCCCACAACACCCTTTATACATTCTGTGGTCACAATCCCCAAATTCCCATCTATTTATATACTACCATTTTCCTCAAAATTAAGTAAACCTATTTCATGTAACATTTCCTATCGTGTAAAACATTTTGTGCCCAGTGTTTTTGGTTATATCGTACTACTGCTAGTAAGGCTAAAAAGCAGGTCACACAACATAAAAAGAACACAACAAAACAAAGATAATGTGTTTGAAGGAGAACAGTATTTAAAAAAAAAAGTGAACAGGTGAAAAACAAATAAATAAACATACATATTTCATCTTGTACTCCTCAGTGAATATTTCATTTGTTAAACCCCTAACCCCCCAGACTGCCCTAACTTGAAATAGGCCAAGTATGAATCTACGAAGCAACCAGCAATCCAGACTTTGCCCAACTGCATGTGCTTGAACTGCATGTGCTTGAACAGAACCTCAGGCCACTGGTCTACCACCCGACTAGAGTACACTTCCTTTCTGTTGACAGAGGTCATGTCACAGCACCTCAATTCTAACACCTACAACCCAACAGAGCCTGAGTGGCGTTCCAACAGTAGATGAAAAGGCACAGATCATCATGGGGTGGAGGCAACGAGATTAGAAAGGCAGACATTAGGTTTGCTCTAATACCAATTACCCTGCAGGTTCTACTAAATTAATGCTGTGTATGGTGAGCAGTTTGATCAGCATAACTACATTATACGGACTAGAAATAAAAACCCCTTGAATATATGATTATTTCTGTTAAAAGGATATTCATGGTCATTCAAAAGATAATTGTGATGTCCAATGTTAAAACAAACTGACATTTCACTGTTAAGCTAAAAGCTATACAATAGCCCTTTTCAGTCGGTTTTGAAAGCCTAGACAAACAAGTAAACCTGATCAAAAGTCTACTGGTCACCAGGAAAAAGTCGAACAGTGGAACGACATTTAAAAGAAACAGACCAGTGCAAACAAAACACTAAGGATATCTGGTGAAATCAATCTGATCATTGCTGATATTTCTTCATTACATTTCTTGTGAATAGTCCAGCTGCTTTGCAGTGATGACCTCTTCCAAACGAATGACTCCACCTCCCATCAAGGCAAAAGCAGGATACATTGTTCCGATGCAGTCAACATCCCGCTCATAAAGGCATTTCATGGTATCTGCATCGTAAAAGCCAACTTTTCCTTTATCATAGTCCAAGCAGACTCCAATTCTGTTAGGAAGGGATATGGTGCGTTCAGAATACACTGTTGAAACATTAGAGGCCTTTGGGATAACAAACTTCTTCATTCCTATAGTCGCCAAGGTAAAAGGTTGAGATGCATCAAAGACAGTATCTTCACTGCCACTATCATGGCCGCTGTCTTGATCATATCTGTAAAAGAAAGTGTTAGCATTAGTTATCTAGACCGCAATTATAAGTTTTGCCGGAAAAGGAAACTTTTGCTAATCAGCTTGGTATTTCCAATAAAATAATATTTCACAAACTGAATATCATTATACAATAACACCATAATTAGAGTACGATATATTTCCAAAATAGTGGACCAGCCCTTACATTTCAGGGACACTTTAGCCTTAGTAAAATTGATCTGTGGCTTTACAGCTGTCCAAATCCCTTCTATTACAAAGTAGAAAGCTACCAGTTAAATTCTGCAGCTCATGGCTGCTGATATATTCCCAGACAGGGTCATTCTTGGAAAGCAAATATCTTTAAAATGCTTACATCATTTTGTCATGCAGTTATGCGCCCTATTAATTTATCGCAAATGAGAAACTTAAAGATAGGTCAACATTAAAGTATACCTGTAAATAAAACCTGCCCAACTCAAGCAGGGCATATAATGAAAAAAGGAAAACATAAGCAGAGATTTACATCTAGATTTTAAAGGGCTCTAAAAAGAGATAGATTACAAGACCTGGATACAGATTTGAATTATCACTTTTTCTATAGTTGCTGAAAACATCTGTTTCCTTCCAGAAATGGAAGTTTAACATACATTACCTTGGACTGCTGATGTCGCGTGGATTATGCAGCCATTCCTGCAATTTGATGTCAGATGCGACTCCAACTTTGACCATGTATGAATAAGGCTCTACAGAGAAGGCCCAGAAGTATGTCCCCTTGGTGATGCCAACATCAGCAATGATATAATCAAGGCACATATAGGAGCCCACTTGTACTCGCTCTGCTCCAAGTAGAAGGGGAAGGCCTGCCATGCTTTCCACTGTATCCCTTCTGCCATTAAGCAGGAGATGTTCTTTGTTGTATCCACACTTCTCATCAAAAAGGAAACTAAACACTGCAAGAAATATGAGAATTGCTATGAAAACAAATATGAAGCTAAAATAAAAAGGCATATTGCACACTAACAGAAAAGTTGAAATCCTATTATTCCAATTGTTCATAAAGAATGTCCATCTGTGCCAACATTACAAGCAGATTCTCATGACAGATCCAGCAGAAACAGCTGTGACTTCCCAGCATAAAGCTAAGGGGTATATTTAAAAAGCAATGAATCTGACAGTCTTCAAACATTCACTACGTCTTGGTGCAAGTGTTTTAAATGACAAGTGATTGATTCACCACTAGTAAAAGTTTGATAGAAGTCACATTCACTGCTTTATAAATATGCCCAATAGTAAGATATAGCACAGGAACAGAGGTGGGAGGTTGAAATTATGTGGTTTAAAAAAGGAGTGCTAGTGATGCATAGAGTACACAATTTTTATAATCTGGATCATAATTAAAAAATTCTTAACATTAATGTAAAAATATGTGCAAGTCTTTAATGATATAACACCTGGGGTGAACAAAAGACCAGATGGTACACTTGCAAATCTGGGGAACTGTTGCTTGACTCTAAAAAGACCAAGAATTACTTAAATATCTATTAAATTGTGCCTTGACAGAAAAAGGGTGGAATCGGATCCTGGAGAGAGAAAGCATGGGATGATTGAGTGTATTAACCCACCTAAAAATCATGGAATAAAAAGCTGGTGCACCCATTCATTCTAAAAGATGCAGTGGCTAAGGGGTAGTTGCTCACTGCTCAAACCACATCCACACAAGGTAGAGAAATTCCTTTTGTTGAACTGAAGCTGGGCAGTGGGACAAACAATGCACTGGTTGAGATGAAATGCAGAAACATTCTAAAGGCAAGAAGGAGGTCCTGAGCCTCACCACCACATGGACTCGATGCAAAGCCAAAAAGAGTATTACAGGCTTCTTTGCAGAAGGCAGCCTGCTTTGACAATTGCCTTGCATATGTGATGGCTACAAGCATCACCTAGTGGGTGAAAGTAGAGAGGAATGTCTCCAACAGGTTCTGAAGCTCTGAGAGAACTAGAATCAGGTTCCGAGGAGACAAAGGGGGAAAGGATGGGGAGACCTATCTGGGACACACCCTGTTCAAAAGGTCTTATCAAGGAGTGAGAGGTCAACAGGGAACAGGACAGATGGCAGAAACCTGGTCCTTGATTGACTCAGAAAAAAATGCTGGTTATACGCCAGCTAAAAGGAAAAGATGTGTCCCATGGAGAAACTCATGGAGTGGATGCCCCAGAATTCAGATCAAGTGAAGTATACCTTCAATGCTCTATGACAGACTTTTCAAGAAGTCTGTCATAGAAGCTTTTAGAATAGTAGGAATCACCAACTTAGATGCCTCTGCCCCCTCATAACTCTGGAAAAAGGGGGCCAACATTAGAAAGGCTTGTCTGATAATTTGGTAGACTAAGTTCCAGACCTTGCAGGTGGACAGGGAGCAGAGCTTGGAGGGTCTTGGCAAGGTAGTGGTGCATCGAAAGGGATTTTTTTTATATGCAACATTCAGGAAGGAAGAAGAATTTGTTGTCTGTTTCTTAAGCTTCTTCCTCTAAAGAACATGGGTGCTCTTGCACCAGTAGCACATTTTATGATGTTGAGTGTCTGTCCAAAGAGATGCTGTCCTGCAAGGGCAGTGTGGATCAAACTCTTTAGCTAAGGGTTTCCACAGTCTAATACGTTAGTCAATCGCATATGTACCGACATAACACACGTGGGAAATGACATGAGGCGTTCAGCAAACCTTTGCAACTGATGTAACATAACTCATCTGCTCCACACATTTAATAAGCAAGGGATCAACTGCAGCACTGTTTACTTCCATTTTACGAGATTTTGACCAGCCAGACAAAGTTTGACAAAGTAAGGTCATAGCCAGGGTCAGACATAAGGCAGGACCGGCCAACGAGAACAAAAATCTAACAGGGGTTTCCAACAACTTATCGGTTTGGCCGTTAAAGCCAGGTTTGTCTTTCACTGGAATATTAAGCACCATGTAAAAGGGCAGGACAGCAAAAAAAACAAAAAACAAAATCGGTTATCCTTTTACACAGCAGAGCTGAAGAAAAGATGTTAATCTTCCTAGGGCACTAGCAAAATACTGAGGCATGCTGGTAGTAGGAAGGGTTAACCTCGGCTGACCTACAGGTTTTTTTTTAGTGCCAGTCATGCTGCAAGCAGCAATATAACCAAAAGAGTAACAACTTCTGGTGTCCCTCAATGGAAGATAGTCCTTTTAAAAGAGACCATTAGCAGGAGTAGGGGCCAAGCTAACTAATCAACTCCAGGGCTTCTGACCTAGTTACACAGTGCTCCATAGCAGTTCTTGTAGCAGATCACTTACAACACAATGCTTCGGCACCGTGTTCACATTGGGAGTGTCCTGACATCACGGCACTTCCTTTCAGTATGGAGGCTGGGACAGAGCTGCAACAGTGTCTTCCTGTAGTACTAAATCACTGCTAGAGTAATCTATTGCTGTCTACCTGCAGTCAGCTATAGATCACTGTTAGGCAATCTGTTGCTGAATGTCTGCTGCAAGATGTTGGCCTCTCTTCTGTCCTTTAATATTTGTTCCAATTGTCAGGGCTCTGGTTGCTCCTGGACCATGCTAATGAAGAATTCCACATCTACCCATCCCTTGGCTGCCATTATGATGTTTTATTACAGTCTGCACTGCGCTGAGCACAACACATGTATAACTAGCAAGCAGAATGGTGGACCAGTCAAAAGAGGCAAACTATTTTTCCCAGAGTAGCGTTAATCCAAGTTGCCTGTGTTTATGTGCGTTTGTAGCCTGCTGTACTTTTTCCCCCCACTGCACTGCAAATCAAAAGGCATGGTGGGAACTGTGTTCATTAGCGAATTTGGATTTTGGATTGTCTAATGCAGTAGGAATGCATTCAAAAAACACACAAAAAAGTAGGGAAAGGTGAAAACACTAGTCAGGCTTTTATGCAGCCTGCTTATTAAGGGAGGTTTTCCTTTTTCTTGTAAGCAAACAGGAATTGTGAGGAAATCTCCTCTTGGAGAACTGTTCCTGAAACAAGTGTTCCCCATTTAGACCAGGGCAATATGTTGCTGTGCATTTAAGGCAGGCAGCCCATTCATTTAAATGAGCTACCAAATCCACCACAATTGTAGTATTTTACCTACTGCATTTTTTTGTGGTGTGTACCACAACACACAGTTGTACGTCAATTTAAAATGAATGGCCCAAAAACGGGAGGCACGGGATGTTATATACTATTAACAGGGGAATCTTTGGAGCATCTGAGAGGAGGACTATTCACGGAGGGGAGACTTTCGGAGGAGACAACGGGGCGGGAGAGGAAGAAGCTGGTGGGTCTAAACTGGTAAAATAAAAGTTGTTAGTGTTATTAGGCTGTCACTTGACAGCATTGAACGTTAAACTCTAGGGATACTCCGGTATGGCCACAGGCCTAAAAATCACAGGGGGGCGAACAAAAGCCCGCACAGCAGACGAAAAGCATGGGGGGGTCTAGTGCCCAGAGCAATGTACAGGGACGAAATGCTCAGAAGTCGATATCCCCTGGCATGTTATATTATGTTATATTCTGTTGAAACGAAATGTTCCTACTTTATCGATCTTTCTTTTGTCATAACATAACCTGAATTTTGCAAGGTATACGCTTAAAAAGTTACTGAAAAAAGTGTTGGTATTTAACAAATGAGAATGTTATGATAACTGTATATCTTTGACACGAATAAAACTATTTTCAACAAATAAAATAAAATGAATGGCACCACAGCACAAGAAATCTGCATTACTGTAACGCAGTGATGTAAATTGACTCAATGCTTTGGTCAATATATTTTCATTTTAATGAAATTGACTGCACCTCAGCTCTCTGTAGACAAACAAAGCATATTTTACCTGGTGCAGGTGGCGTCTTTAGGACAAGCTCCCTGCTGCGGGGGCTACATACAGATCCTTTGAGTCCCTGCACTCTGAAGCAGTAGGAACTGTTCAGATCCAGATCAGACAGGACTTTGCTGGTATTGGTTGTTTCCACTTCATTCCACATTGGATCTTCATTTTTGTCAAGCTTTCTGTATTCCAGAACATAACTGTCTGCAAGACCGGAGTCATTAGGCTGGCTCCAACTAATTTTAGCACCGTTATAGATCTTACTTTCTTTTTCATTAATTTCAGGCACATCTAAAGCTAAATGAGGGAAAAAAAAAACTTAAAATCATAACAGCATACAAGAAGAGTAAATAAACTATTAGGAAAATAAAGCATGAGAAAAATACTAAAAACATGTAGGGGCAAACCTAAAAACAAATACACTTCACTGTTAATGCCTTGTTCACACCAAATGCAGAGCAGACCCGGTCAGGTTTCTGCACACGCACGCTAGTCTTTTAGATGCGTTTTTAGCTAAAAAAAAAAAAATATTTAAAAAAAAAGTTTAAAATGGGCTTTCAGTGCGTTCCAGGCATTTGCATGCGTTTTTAATGCGTTTGCAGATCCAGAGCAGGTAGAATTGGGCCTGCTGCAGTTTTTTCATCTGCTCTGAATCTGCTGGCTGCGATGTGAACTGGAGCAAAAAATACCATTGGAATACATTGGACGCAGTTTTGATCTGGTCTGCAACTGATCTGCTCCACGCTTGGTGTGAACAAGGCCTAAGGCACCAGTAAATATAGCAGACATAAAAGTCTTGATTTTCCAGTGGGTTGGATCAGTAAACAAGTTCCCATATCCATGCTCCAGATGTGTAAATCTGGGGGGGGGGGCGGGGGGGATAGTATTTGTTTTTCACAGAAATACTAATTTATGAATGAAGACCCCATTCATTCATACAGGAGCTGCCGTCAGCTGGTAACCCCACACATGACGACATCAGTTGGACTTAGGCCGCCAGCGCCGGGGGACGACGACAAGCAAGGATCGTGTGAGTATCTTATTTTAGTTCCTAGACCAAAACGAGCACTTAACCCTTGCAGTGTGGGTGTTAGCCCCAGTGCAAGGGTTAATTTTGTACATGACTGGAGTTCTTGACGCTTCAACCACTTAACTCTAAACAGGCTTTTTATATTAGGCAATTAAAGTTAGCTTGGAACACATGTGAGAAGGAGCTTCTTTTAAGTAAAATATGCACATTCAACATTTCATATTTACCTGATGAAAAAATATTTTACATCAATTTTTGTCCTATGACAATTCACAATGAAGTGTACCTTTAGAGAATGACAAGTCATTCAGCATATTTTCTTCCTTAGAAATATCGACAAAATAATCTTCAAAGTTGGAATCTGCAGCTGGGCGAAAAGTTTTCAGGGTTTCTGTTGCCTTCTGAATCCTGCAACGAGACCAAAGGTAATAACAGAGGCACTTGCTGTACTTTAGAGGACATGAATGGGAAAACAGATTCACACAACCTTCTGCTGGCTGCAACTCCTGACAAAAATGCTCTGCCAAGATATACATTGAGCATGGGTGCTGCCTTTTGACTGGCTAATCTTTCTTTTGCCTCCCTGGAGTTTGCACTCTCTCAAAAACATGCATATTTTCTCTCTAGTTCAACTCTATACAAGTTTACTATTGCACATTACAGAGGCAGGTTACGGTTTACAGTGGTATTCCATTAAGATTTACAAGTGGGTTTCTTTTTATGGGCCAGGTCAGCCTTTTCTCAGAGACCCCATGCCAATACTAAATCATTGGGGATAATGGAATAGGCGGTGGTCAGAGGGAAGAAAATCTCAGTGGTGGTCAGAATTGTGCGCTTACAGGCACCTAAAGAGAGATTGGTGTCGTGCTACCGGCTCTGCCAAGTGGTACAGGCCCTGGAACTATGCAGGCACCATCAGGTGGGAAGCCAGTGAGCCACTGCTCAAGTAACCACAAGCAACTTCTGGAGGAAGCCTGGTTGAGAGTTGCTGGGCTAGAGTGTACCATTTGTATTTTCAAGTTAATTGTATAAATAAGCTTTTGAGAATTGCTGTAAAGCAACTTGTTTTAGGACTGCCTTCTCTTTTGCGCTAAATTATTCAGACTTAAACCAGGGCAATTTATACAGAGCAAAATTATGAGAAAAATGCATAAACCGATTATACCTTCACTGGTGACCACATTTCAAAAATATAATTGGTGGTAGGTTTACGTTTATTCCTTTTGAAGAATTCAGAAATATTAAAATACCAGAATGCCCAACACTACCTCTGTGGCGTACACAGTAGAATGATTTTCTGCTTTTATCAAATTCAACATCTTACTTAATTGGAACAATCTATGCAATTGTACGAGTCTTAGAACAGCAGTTATGAGCTGGCAAACAGGAAGTAAAAAAGCAATATCCTGACTTGAAAGTTTCTATTATGAGACTCAGTAAGGCAGCTCAGACTGACAAGATGCTAAATTTAAAAAAAGTAAAGAAAAGGCCTCAAGTCAAACACCTAAAAAGCTTCTGGGGACAGCTCTACTAGCAGATCCCATGGCAACGAAATACCAGTTCTATTATGTCCCACTTGGCATGACATATTTCAAAAGCCTAAAGAGGTCCAAAGTTGTTTTCACTGCTGTGCCTTTAAAATACTTACATGTCAGAAAGGTGTTATTGTTCAGCCACTATACTTTTAGGATACATTTCCAGACACAAATGCAAAACTATATTTACACTGCCTTTATCATGAAATTTGTAGGGCTTGAAGTTATGAACTCCTTGAATGAAAAAGCTTCACCCTAAACCTACGTGCCAACATCATTTGCTTAACCCACTGGTTTTCTGGTGTGTAAAAACCATGCAAGCGGTTTTTAAAGTTCTGCCAGGTAGTTGCACATCTGTAGCTGCCTCTAAACAGCATTGGTCAGAAATCCCATCACATTGAAAAAAGGTGCTGCCCTCCCTCTTGGGACTCACGGAATGGGTGGCCCATACCATCGCATTCAGGATGTTATTGGAAATCTCGTGGTTACTAATGAGTACTTAAGTAGGAAATCTTCTCTATGTTACCTGTGCTTATATGGAATCATGACTTTAAGGTCATTGTACTCCACTCATTCTTCCCTTTCAGCAGGCAGGGAAAGGCATGTTGGCGGGGAGTCGAGTGTTGGTTTTGTATTAGTGTACGTAGTTCTGCTTTATGTAACAAAGTATTATGCCATTGAATTTTCACGTAATTTTTATTTTTGAGCTTTCTTTGCCCTCTTTTTTTAAACAGCAGAAAAACGTCCTTAATAAAAAGAATTTATAAAACTGGATCTGTTCCATAATGTTGAGCGTGCAAAGCTTATCCAAGCCATTTCTTCAGTTTAACGGAGCCTAGATGACTCTTGTAGTCCAAGTTTTCTTGCTAATTTCTCATATTCCCACACCAGTTTAAGGGAATATGCCCCAAAATAGGTGCCAACGTGTCTGTTAAAAGGTTCTTATTTATCCAGGTCAAGGCATAACAAGTAGTACTTGGTCAAATTCAAAAACGAGACTTGTTCTATAGTGTTAAAGATATTTCGTAGCTTACCCAAGGAACTTCAGTTGTAAAGAACTAAAGTTATGAAGCATCTTCAACATTTTAGAATAATTCCAGTTGAGTTTGACCAACTACTGTACTAGCTATTACCATGGCCTGGATAAATGTGAACCTTCACAATTTCACTTGTAATGGCCCCTTTAAGAAACTTCCCTAAACGTAAGGTGTCTGTATGTACTCTATGTGGATGTCCTAAAAGTGTTCATATACATAAACCTTCTACACCCAAGCCAAAAAGATTTTATTGGTATCTAAAAAAAATTTATAATAATATGTATTAAGTCCATGTTTGGGGCTTTTTAGGGGCCTGTTTCAACAGAGTTTTGGGCTTGTGCCGATGTCACCAGTTTGAAATGTTTCGGAGATCATTTAGAATAACTTGACAGGTGCACCTGACTTTTATTTAACCCCCTTCTGAGATGCCTAAAGCTGGCTTTGTATTGCCATACACTTGCATGGAAATGCAAAACCCTGCTGAAGTGAACAAAAGCCACTGGCACAGGCCCTTAGTTACATGATGATGCTCCCACAGAATATAGCCTGGCCTCTCCCTTATTTTTTTTGTTCTAACAAAATGATCTTAATAAACCATTTAGATCTGTGTGGGTACCTTGTGTGCAGTTGCTTTGCAGTCTGAACAAAACATGAGTGATCAGTTTCTTTCAACACTTCCTGTGCATAGCCCACAAGTCCATTATTCTCCAGAAGACCCTGATATTCTTCCATTTGGTTCTGCAGCTTTTCCAGGCGAGCACTTTGCGAGTCCTGGATAGATTTCAGTACAAATGTTTTCCTCTCTTCCAAAATATTAAACAGTTTTTCAAAATTGTAAGTTGCTTCCTCTATAGCTCGTTCTCCATTGCTCTAAAAAAAAAACCAAAAAAAACATTTTAAACAAAAAACTCTTCTTAGATCATCAATGGAAATGTCATATTTCACATGGAATATCTTTGCTCTGTTTAATTTGTTAAAATGGATCCATACAGGGGTCTAAACAGAACACAGATGTTGAACCTGTTTAACCATTTGCCTGCCACTGTATTATATACATCACTGGGGACATTAGAGAAAACCGGCCATGATTTACAGGCTGCTGCTACCGCTACCAATAAAATAATACCACTACAGGATTTATACAACAGTTTATGCAGCTTTACAAAAGGGGGGGGGG